GGACGTTAATAATATTTTAGTGTTGGCACCCTCGATTAGACCAGAATCCAAAATGCTGAATGTGAATTAAATTGTCGTCCTGAAATGAATATAAAATTAATTTTATATTGACTGAATTGTAGAATTAATTAATTGGTCATTGTCTTTTTGGGCTTAGTTTGATTTTAATAAATGAGGAATCACATGTCCAGGGTGTAGAAAATTTCATGCAACTTAAGATATTGTTAAATGGACACTCCAACAATATATATACAAATTTTTCGAGAAAAGACACTCCAACATTTTTGACTTTTGAATGATTTTTTTTTTCTGTCTTAGGAATTGATCATCAAGAAAACATGATAATAACAGTCGAGATCATAAATTTGCATAAAAAAATAAATTACGAAAGTTGAAAACTATAGAAAAAAAACTTATTTAATAATAACTCAGACCAAACTTTAGAAATAGATGAGATTACTCTCATGAAATCAATTAACTCAATTATCTTCACAATGGTAGGATCTTTTTGGACATAATTCTCACGACTTTATTTTTTAGTTTTACCTAAAATGTCTCATATAATTGACCTCATCTATACACGATGGATCACTCGTTCATGTGAAACTATATATAACAATCAACAACATAAATTTTGGATTATTTATTCTTCATTGTACATACACAACCTCCTTATGGCATACGATTTTTCATTCGTTCAATGTCTCTCTTCCTCCGCCGAGAAAAATCGACGATTTTATTATTGAGGCTCTCTGCTCCAATGTGAAAAGCAAAGATAAATATTCTTTGGTGCAATGCAGTGGTGTTTACCCTTTGGCAAGTCCGATGGAACAAAATAACCGCACCTTTCCGGATTGTGACTGACCGTGTGCTCATAAATGGAGTGATGTAAAAGTTTCTGTATTGTTTTAGTCTTCTAAGTCATCCATTTTGTTGTTGTTGTGTATCAGTCTTGCATGGTTCTCACATACCCTCTTTCTAATGAAATGGTCTACAATTTTGTTTAATTAGAGAGTTTTTTTTATAGCTTTTTCCTCTGGTATGTTTTTCACATACCTTCTTATGAAATGGTCGGGTCGGTATCTTTTTCAAAAAATATATAATAATCAAACTGAATATAATTCAATTGGTTAGGACAAATATCTCAACTAATTAAAAAGGTCGAGAATTGAATAAAACAAAAAATACTAGTGGGTGTAAACTTTGATTTCAATTATTTTATAATAATTGTTAAAAATGTGAATTGAATATAAATTAAAGAAGTTGGTAATACATATTAGTACCTAACTTAAATTTGTCTCTTCTACTAGAGCAATTGAATTATGTATCAACTAACCAAAATATTAAACGTTTTGGATGCTTCGTTTAACGACAAACATATGTATGTGTGATTACACCTTTTTTAATGCTCAAACAACCTTTTCGCTGTTATAATTATCAACTATCATCTTCGTATTTTATTCGGCTACTATATTAAAAATTTGTAAGTTTCATTTTATATATACAGTGAGCGTCCTCATAGTAGAAATCATTTCTTTTTTATAATGCAACCGGTCGGTCTGAAGCTATCAACTAGTAACTAAGATAACATTTAAAAAAAAAAAGAAAATTCTCATATTGTTTTGTTTTGACCTCCAAAATGATGAGAATGTCTTAACCAATCTAAATATAATTTAATAGATAAGATATTTATCATATTTTTTAAGATTTGAGTATAATATTTGTTGAATTTTAATTTGGAATTTCGATGGTGGGTCTCGATGAGAGCTGAGAAGTTGAACAATATAATCTGTCGTCGAGCATCGCACACCTTGCCACAACAATCGTATAAGCTCCAAGTCCCAATCAATACTATTACAAAAATGTTTTGTATTATTTCTCTTTTCTAGTATTGCATCTGCCCTTAACATTGAGAATATATCTCAAACAATTATCATGATAAATTTGGTGTCTATTTTGATCGACGACTAGAATATGCATTTTCGATTTACTAAATCAAATAAATTCAATAAATATACTTTTGACATATTTATTTTACAAAATTATTTTTGAATTTTGTCATCCAGTAGAAATACTAAAACCACAATTTTTATCCTTTTAGTGTTTTCGAATTTGAATTCCAAAGTTTAAAATCTAGAATTATATTAAAAAAATAAAATTTTGAAAAATATATTATTGATTTCAGGTTTAAAGTTAAAACATATAAAACATAATATAATATTGTAAAGGGATAATTATACAAAATTTAATAAATTAATTAATATTATTAACAATTTTTTTAATTGAGATTATAATTTTAGGAAATTGTCTCATGTAGGCTAAATTTTAATCATGATATTTAATAAATTTCCCATCTTTGTTTAAAAATCTAGATTTCGAGATTTGAATTTCAATTTTTTTCCTTTTAATACTGCCCTCAATTAATGTCAAGGTGTAAGCCGGTCGGTTAGACTTGGTTTTAGTTCTTAAATTGAACCGATAATAGATAATATATTAGTTTGAAATCGAAACGAACCAATCCAAAGATAAAAACTGAACTCAACGTACCAAATAGCCAAATCGTCGGTTTGGCGGTTTAACCGATTAGCATGAAGTTCACTTGTCGCCTCAATTTTGTGGAGGGAGAAGTTCACCACGGCTGCAAATTCGTGTTAAGATTTGTGGGGTTTCGTAGGAAGGTGGAGAACTATCGTGAGAGTTGAGAGAGAATTTGAGAGGGAGAGAGCGAGGATGAAGGAAAAAATTAACCAAATTGAAAAAGTTGAAGAAAAAATGTCAAAACTTGTGATTAACGTCTAACCTTAGAGAATGTACTGGACCTCGAATATTAGGAATAGGCTTTGGGATAAGGGAACATTAAATACTAAGGGGATTTAAAAAAGTAAAAATAAAATAATACGTAACTAGCCTCGAATATTGAGAACGAGGTTTTAGGTAAGAGAACATTAAAGAAAAAAGTTTCTTAAACATAAAATAATACATATTAATATTTCGGTTAGGTTTGGTTTTCAAATCGATTTTTGATCTTCTAACCTAAATCAAACCGACTATTCAATTTAAAAAATATAGCAAATCAAGTCGAACTGTCAGATAGTTTAAAAGTAAAGGTTAGTCCAAACTAAACTCAAGTCCGATCCAAGTTCGACTCAAAGTCAATGTTTGACTGACCCGACCCAACCCTATTCATCTATAAATTAGATTGGATATGAATCTTTATTTTTTAAAGCTCCTGTCCAATTTTATTCTCATTTTCGAGCATAAAATTTTAAGGTTCATCTTTCCGTCAATATTGGTTCACCTTTGTTTGGTGGTCCATTAATTGTTATGGTGTATTAGGTTTTTTTTTTTTTTGCTTTTTTTTTTTTGAAAGCTATGGTGTATTAGTTATCTTTTCGGACAACACATTTATTTTTCTGATTGTTTAAATCTCTTTTTTGGCAACCATTGGTTTTCTAGAGACAATTATATAATATATACCTTTTAGTCTAATTTAGAGTAGGATAAACACATACTTGTCCAATAGATTATAATAGTACACCATTTTTATTGAAATATACTAAGCTATTATATTACATAATATATATAACTTTTATTACAAACTATATAGAGCATATACTAAAAACAGATACTATATCATACCTAACCCATATCTACAAAATAGTACCAATATATTGATTTAACATTACAAAATTTATGCTACTGAAATATACTTTATATAAATAATTTCATATCATTCATTAAGCTGTCCGAAAATAATATCATTAAAGTATTATTTAACGTTATAAAGTATATGTAATATATTATATATATATCTAAAATATGCTGGCTAGAAATATTATTAAAAACTATAAAATATACGTAGCATATACCTAAAATATATTGAAATGGGTTGTTATTTATGTATTGTATATCTAAAATATATTGAGTAGAAGTCTTATTAAAAGTATATCTAAAATATAATCTATATTATGGTGAGTTGCAATGACCGGGCAAGGTTTTTTAGAATTACCACCGTTAAGGCTTAGGAGATTGAATCAGTCGTCGAAATCACGGCTTGGTTTCATCAAGCATGCCTATTTCTGCTCTTATCCCTAATTGAATACAATTACCTATTTTGGAATTGGGTCGGCCCATCAGACTAAGTCTAAAAGGCTTCATCTATGATTTAATTCTTTTTTAATTCATTTCTTTAAGTTAAATTACAAGTCTATTATTTATAAAATTAAATTGTATCTAATATGTTTTTGAATTTTTTAAAAAAATTTTCGAGATGTTTAAACTTTTATAATATTTAATAAGTCCTCGATAAAATTAAGTGCCTTAATTTTTAAAAAAGTTAGATTGGTTAGGACTATTAGACACGCTATTAAAGTGAGACTATTTAGACAAAAAAATTGAAAAGATAAAAATCTATTATACCATAGCCATACACAAATTTTGAAAATTTTGAGAATAGACAAACCATGTTTATTTATTGTTAATATTATACCTGGTTTCATAGACATAAAGCAGGCCCGCACGAGACGTGTGATTATTCGTCGGCAATGGTGGGCAAGGGATTAACGCGGCCACAATTTAACCTAATTTCCCCATCGGTGCCGGTGAGAGGGCTAATGTTCCCCATGTTGATCATGGAGCGACCAAACTGAGCAAAGAAATCAGATTGGCTGCCTGCAAAACCAGTGACGATGGCGATGGTCTCGGCGGCATCGAAGGTGGAGAAGAGCTCCTGGTCAGACTGTAGAAGGCCACGCTTGTTTCGGAGATTGGTGAAGTAGGAATTGTCGAAGGCGTCGGGTGTGGTGACGTCGAGCGCGATCTGGTTGTTGAGCTCGCCGGTGGGGCAAGCCACGACGAGCTCGTCCCGGTATGTGGGGTCGAGGGTCGGGTCTGGGCTTCCGGTGCCGTTGAAATTGTTGAGACGTTGGGCGAAGACTCTGCATTTCGCCCTTCCGAAGGTATGGGCTCCAGATAAAGCCACGAGGTCTGTGGAGTCGAGCCCAACTGCTGCGAATTTCAGTTTGAGTTTGGGCAGGCTGTCGAAAGGGGATGGGAGGCCGCTTTCGGCTCCACTTCTGTTTGCTATTCTGCTGTCTCTTCTTCCAAATTGAACTTCCCAACTCGGCCCTCCCGTCTAATAATAATATATAACAACTAATTTAATCATTTAATTAAAACGTGCCCCAACTAATTACAAAGACATATTTAATTAATTGTGAGTTACCAGTAGGACAGATTGAAGAGCTGCAATGGCTAAGATATCCGCGCAGGAGACGGTGGCTGGGCAGGCAGCTTCCACTGCGGCTTTGACTTTGTCCACAATTTCGAGGCCTTGGATTCCTCGGTTCGGAGGAGCGTCTAGCTCGCTCTCTATGCCCGGTGCGTCCTTCAGTAGAACCGACCCGTCACAACCCTACACAAAAGTATGTCCATTTCCAATCATTCTCACTCAACAACAAAAGTAGAAAATTTCACAAACATTATTCCATTGGTCATAAAGACAATAAAGTATTTTCCTTTCTTAAAATGTATAATTTTTAAGCTGATGTACGTCGACGAAACAGTCGTGGAAGTGAAAACGAATGAGCTTGGCTCCTGCTCGAACATCGCCTTCTTGTGCCTGGCTCACCGCGTCTCTAACGATGGTGGATAGATTAGGGCATGTTTGGTCGTAGAATGTAGGGCTGAGCTGAGCCGAAGAGGTCTCTGTGGATAAATTGGGGTACGTTTGATCGGAGAAGGTGGGGCCGAAGTGAGCCAAAGGGTCCCCCATGGAGAGATCAGGGCATGCTTGGTCGTAGGAGGTAGGGCTGAGGTGAGCCAAAGAGGCCTCCAATATGATACCCACCAACATAACTAAAGCTGCAACTTTGAAGGACGACATGTTTATGGTGTTGTATAGTTGGATATATTAATTAAGATGGATTTGGTGGGAGAAACTACAAATCCAAATTCCCTTTTATAGACACATGGAAGCAAGCCCCGTCCCCTTATCTATGTATGAATAACAAGGTATAATTGATGGCGGAAAATTGAAGTTCAACTTAGATACTTTCTTAGTTTAATTTGGTCAATAATTTACAGCCAAAAACATGATCTTCTCTTTTCTTTTTTAATATTTCCTTTAATTTATCATTATTACTTTTTTTTCTCTTTTTTTTTTTTTTACAAAGATTGAACAGGCTGAATAAATTTGTCATGTGTCATGTTCCACGAAGCTGAGATTGGGATCAGAATATAGAAGTTCAGGTTTCAGACTGTGTTATATTGCAAAGGTTAAGTGGAATTGTAGCCTTTAATATTTTTATTAAAGTTAGTTTAATATATATATTATATGAATATCTATAATGACACAGTTTTTAACCTTATACAAATTTAAAACATTCAAAAAAAAAAAAATTACTGCAAAACAAACCTAAGTATCTAAATGTTTTTGGACATTCCTACAAAACAAATGTGCCTAATCTAAAATTCTAGACATCCATAATTTCAAGCATTCCCATTCAGAAGAAAAAAAAAAGAAAAAAGAAGACGAACATATATGTATATATATCTGATTACACCTTTTTTAATGCTCAACAACGTTGCTTTTTTTTTTTTTGGGATTAAAACCTATTTGCTGTTACCATCACTAGGTCAGTAGAAATCAATTTTTTTTTTCTTTTATAATATGTGTATATGTGATTACACCTTTTTTAATGCTCAACAACCTTTTTGCTGTTACCATCACTAGGGTTAGTAGAAATCAGTTTTTTTATACAGGAACCAACTAGTAACGAAGATAACATAATAAAAAATAAAAAAAAAGGATTGAAAGGGCAGACCAAAACTATATATTTTAACTCATTGAACCCAAAAAATTTTGTTTTTATTTGATCAGTAAAATTCAGATTCCCATTGGTGAAGACATTACTTTTCTTTTATAGGTTGGAAAATATGTGCGTTACTTGATACTCTGGGCCAAATACGTAACAAACCCTATAAATTATCATGCATATGTATGTAATTTATTCATACAATATATATAATCTATAATACTATTCTTAATTAGGAATTAATGACTCTGCAGTTCTTGCGGATCTGTCCATTAGCCCCTGTGAGTGGGCTGATATTTCCCATCTTGATCATGGCTTTCACAAAGTCCTTGAAGAAAAGCGTGGTGTTTGAGCTATAAGCTTCAACCAAGGTTCTTGAGGTAGTTTGGGCTGCAGTGCTCGAAAACAGAATTTGGTCGGAGCCCAAGAGGCCCTTTTGGTTGAGCAAGTTCTTGTAGTAATGGTTGTCGAATAAATCGGTTGAGTTTCTGTCAAGAACTGTAGTCTTGTTGCCGTCGTCGGTGAGAGGGCACAGAGCTTGCAGATCGGATAACATTGTGGTCTCCATGGTGGGATCTGGTGACCCACTTGATGAGAAGTTGAACAATCTGTCTGTGAACATCGCGCACCTTGCCATTCCAATCGTATGAGCTCCTGTCCACCAATATTACATACATTATACAAAAAAACAAAACCCTTCCTTTTCATGGGGTGAGAATGGAAAAAGTTTGGGTTCAATTTTAAAATTATTTGTTGATGAGTGGAATAGATCACTTTATTATAAATTTTTTGTAAGGTCCTTTATTCTTAACACACCGTAGATTTGAAAGAGTGAATAAGTGGTGCATAATTAATATTTCCAATTAATTAAATATTCACTTTTTTTAACTTTTATGTAAATTATTAGGAAGTGACCTAATTTTGAATTATGAATTTTTTAAACCACGTTTGAAATGTATTTTGTTGGTATAGATAATAACTTTTCATTCTTTATAAGTATTTCTTAAGCAGTTAAGATGTTAAGGAAAGGGGATCCATGGTACATAAAGTGATGACAATTATTATTATTGGTACGAGGTTTTTTTGGGTGAGTCCGAAAATAAAGTTACGAAGATTATGCTTTAAAATGGTTAATATCATACCATTGTGAGATACATGGAGGTTTGATAAAGTTTATGTACTACTCTGACATGATGTTTAGTGTTTTGATTGATTCATAAACAGAGGTATAATTTAGGTACTAGGATATAATAATGTTGTTTACACGCACCAGATAAAGCAACGACGTCTGTGAGATCTAGGCCAACATCGGTGAACTTGTTAACAATACCATCAAGGTTTTCGAATGGGGCGGGCAGTCCTTGATCCGCTCCTGTTTTGTTGGGTACCAATCCATCTCTTCTCCCCAACAAAACCCTCCATGTTGGTCCTCCACTCTGCAAAAAATTAAAACATTATTAAACCATATATACGACTAAAAACTTGAGCTTCAGAGATAAGATAGTAATTTAATTTCTGGCTTTATCTCAATTGTTAAGATTCGTGACCATTACCAAGAGCACAGAGTCTCTGGCAGCTATGGTTAATATATCAGCGCATGATACCACTCCGCTACAAGAATTTTCCACTGCGGCTTTGATTCTATCCACTACATCGAGCCCTCTAAGAGAATTTATGTTTGGAAGTGCAAATTGCTCCCCATCACTTCCATCCAGCAGCACCGATCCGTCGCAACCCTATTGCATAAAGAGGAACAAAAAGTTAGAACGTAAAATTTGGTCCCTCCCATAGAAGTTTATAAGACTTACGTTAACAAAGCAGTCGTGGAAGTGGAGGCGGAGAAGGGAAGCGGCCATTCGCATCTCACTCTTTAGAGCATTTATTACTTCTCTCCTCACAATTTTGAGAAGGTTGGGGCAAGAACTCTTATAGAAATCCACAGTTAACTGCGACCTTGTGGCTCCACACAGCATGAGAAAAACGACCATAAGCAAAGCAAGAACCTTTAATCTGCGGCTCGAGGTTTCCATGTCTAATGCTCTCACACAACTTTGCAAGCTGGCACAGACACGATTGTAAACTAAGTGATAATTAGATGAAGGATTCCCAAAATCTAATGATCAAGGCTTAATTTATAGCCTGAAAAAGGCATTCACTTTGTGCAAAAACTTTAATTTTAGTTGCTGGTGATGCATGGCGGCCGAGAAACTGCACTAAGGGATTGACAAAATTATCTTAATTAAGGAGATAGAGATCAAATTATTCCATATACATTATTGGTGGCTACTTTAGAAAGGATTGGTAATGGTGGAATATTAGTTGCATGTGCATGAACATTGAGTAGCTTTAATATTAGTTGGTGGCAGGGAGAGTGCAGTAGTGGCTAAAGCATGTATGGCCATAAAAACTTGAGCGCATGCACATAATCAAAATCAATATAATTGAGCTAAGCCCAGCCACTACAAACTTATTTTAGGATAAAAAATTTGTATGTGAGATGAGTACGTATCTGCTAATGTGAAATAGTACTAATTGCCGAATGCCGAAGTGATCAATCTAGCTTTCCCTTTTTCTTTTTGCTTATTTTGCTTATGGTTTTAGTGCATGCTTAGTGGACACTGATCAGCACCCATGCCCATATTGCACCACATGCACGGCAGATAGTAATATAGAATTTGAATTTAGAACAAATACTTCTCAATTGAGTCGTACGGGTAGGTTCCTACTGTCCACCACTAAATTTTTGACACGTGGCTACTTTTTGAAAGAGAAGCTAAAAGTCTCTTCTCTTCCTCCCTTTATCGTTCCTTTATATTCCATTTGTCAAGAAATTAAATTAGTATTTAGTAGCAAGAATTTTCAAGGTGGTATAATAGTGTATTATATCATGTGGTGTGATTTTCCTTGAGAGAATGGAAGAAAATAATTGAGGGAGAGAAGATAGAGATATAAGTGTTCTTATAGATTAGAGAAATAAATTCAATACAAGTTTTATAGATAAATTTTAGAAAGATAGACAACTTAGAGCTCTAATAAATACTTCAATTTTCTAAGTGATAAATTTTAGAAAGAGAATATATGTAAGAAAGAAAAGATGAATAAATACTTCTCTACTCATTTTATGCTACCCACTATTAATTTTTTTACAAAATTTTAGTGCAAAGCATAAATTTAATATGTGTTTTGACGAGAAAGAAAGATTTGGAGTGAAAAGATAGATGAAACGACAAGAAAAAATTATTTTA